GTTTTAAAACGCCTTGAGGCTTACGGCCTCGCCTCATGAACATATTTCTCACCTCTTCGAATATCACTTGCATTGACTCGATCAATTTAATTCCTTCATCTTCTTTGTTTCCATCGAGGTTTCCTATAGTGATCGAACTCTATATTCCCTCTCAAATCATTCTCATTTCTCCTTAAATTCCAGTGCCCCTAGCATTCGACCCTTACAATCATTGTCAATTATTTTGATGGTCCCTATCTTCTTTTAGGCTTCTCATCCTACTTTTAGAGTATCAGCTTTTCCTATTGATTGGTATTCTTGATCCTTTGTTGAAGTTTGTTTTGGGGTTGAAGTCTTCATGAATTCAAAAATCCTTAACAAATGAGTAATCACTTTCCTTTATTTTTTAAATAATATTCAGCCCCACCACGTTATAAACAACCTTCTACTTTTCAATCAAATATGAACTTATTTTCATTGAAAATGAGATTTTTGAGCTTGCAAGTTCACTTTCTTTTTCTATTGTAGGCAAATTTCTTTGGGCTATCCTAATATGAAGATTATTTGTAAATTTATATCAGACTTGCACTTAGGTGGTGAATTATCTATTGTGCTCATTGTCCCTCGCCATATCATTATAAAATTATCCTTTTAATTTACACTGAACACTTGTCACGGTGATCATTATGTCAATGACTATTTGATTCGAATGTTTAAGTAGTCTTCTCATTTAAATTCCTTGGGTTCTATTCTCAGTTAATATTGGTTCGACTCATCTCGTTAGCCTTATGTGGCTAGAGTTTTGGATGAATTCAATAGTTCTATTCCTTTTAAAAAAAGGTATAGATTGAATCCTTGTTTTATGACTATTAATATAAGCTAGAATTTAAAGGCATTTTCCCCTATTATTCTTCTTGCAAAATTTTGGGCCCAACTACTTCGAATGTCTTAAGGCTTATCTAGAACTAAGGAAATCAAACATCTATATACAAAAGGAACATGCAATTAAGCATAATCTACCTTCAAGCATGATGATTGCAGCTCCTCATACTGGATCGGGCTTGCACTCAAAATTCAGAACCAACTTTAGACCGGAATCAAAGCCTTCTATGCTTGGCCCTGCTAGCCTTAGGGATATGGTCACCTCCTTGGTTGCAAGCATGAATTTTGATCTTGATCCTTCTAATATTATATGCCCACCATATTCTTCCTAGTATTGAAATCATTCAGATTGTATTTTATAGTAGCCTTATGATTATGATGGGAGTATTTAGAGCATTGATACTTTGGTGGATAGGAGGATTCAAATCTTATTTGCCTGGTGGGGTACGAATAATAAAAAAAAAGTGTTGTCACTCCTCTAAATTCACTAGGCTTCAAGCAAGATGTGTTGTAAATGAGTTTATGCATTTTTCATTTTCGACTGAAGTATTCTTCATTGTATGTTATGCTTGGCCCTGCTAGCCTTAGGGATATGGTCACCTTCTTGGTTGCAAGCATGAATATTGATCTTGATCCTTCTAATATTATATGCCCACCATATTCTTCCTAGTATTGAAATCATTCATGATTGTATTTCATAGCCTTATGATTATGATGGGAGTATTTAGAGCATTGATACTTTGGTGGATAAGAGGATTCAAATCTTATTTGCTTGGTGGGGTATGGATAATAAAAAAAAAGTGTTGTCATCCTCTAAATTCACTAGGCTTCAAGCAAGATGTGTTGTAAATGAGTTTATGCATTTTTCATTTTCGACTGAAGTATTCTTCATTGTATGTATTCATGTTATATGTAACTTTTTTATGCTTTTAACTTTTTCTCTTTGCAATTCTTTACAATTGGCTCATTTTGTACTCATATTGTCAATTGGTTGTAAAATTATGATTTCAAGAAAAGTTAAATCATATATCTTCATCTCTGAAATATATTACCATGAGGAATCAGGTTGAATCCCTTAACTGAGAAGGGTGAACTAAATCAAATTGAGAAAAAAAAATCCAGAGAAAAAACAAAAACTGCAATTTTGAGATTCACAAATAAATGCTTCGTATTCCTCCCATTATATAGACGTACAAATAAGAACATTAATTGGATTACTCTTTTTCTGCTGAAATTTTAGTACTCTATCATTAGGTGATGTTAAGTTACCTTTATGTCTGAATTATATTGATAATTTGATAGTGTTGCATTAACTATCGAATAATTTTGATCGAATTAAAGATATGCACTGATGAACATTAGCTTAAAATAAGAACATTAAATTTTTAACAAGTTGTTTTAACTTGTCAACCTGACAATTGTTAAACTATCCGAAAACTTTTTTTTTTTAATTTGGGACATTTAAGCTAATTAAGTCAAATTCACACCCATATCACATAAGCAAGACTCGAATTTATGACTTATTGTCTGGTAGTTAAAGCTTCCAATCAACATATCAAGATCAAGATGAGCTATGTACTATCCGAAAACTTGTGTAGTTTTTATTTTTAATAAAATTGATTATAAAGCAGATTGAGTTCCTTTTAAACCTTTGCTTTGCAACCATTTGTTAGGACTTATATTGGCCTTCCAAGCATAATATTTTCCATGACTGATTTTACTGGTTTAAACATACTCAATGATACAGGGATGTGTGCATGTGATGGATTCCTTTGCAGATTACTTCAGTAATGGTGGAAGAGTGATATTCATGTTGGTTGAAGCCCTGGGTGAGTTTTTTTTTTAATTGATTATTTTAATCGGCAACTCAACATTAATGAATTTCAATTGTTTATTTGGATGCGATTGAATTGGTTCATACTTCTAATTTTAAAAATTCTTAAGTGACTATGAGTTTGCTAATTAGAAAGGACATTTTTCTTATTTTTTGACTCTTAATAACTTTTAAAATGAAACTTTTGAGGTCGACAAGTTTGGAAGATTATATGATTACTTGTCTATAGTATGATGGCCTGTTATTCGCCAAATCTTCCATCTTGTTTAGCAGTTCAAAATTTTCTATTGGTGGTCTTATTGAAAATTTATACGCAAATGCACTGAGCAAGCGTACAAATATCTATTCCACTTCATCCTATATGTTAGAATTTTTAATATATCTATGGGCATGTTAGCTTGAGATATGAACAGTGCTGGAGCTTTTGCAAGTATCTCTTTATGATTTTTTTTTTTTTGGATGATTAATGGTTCCTCTTCAGATATATACCTCATTGGAACGGTCATGCTAGTATTTGGAATGGGTCTCTATGAGCTCTTCATCAGTAACTTCGATGTGGCGAAGACTTCTTCCCATGTATCAAGTCTCATTGGGCTGTTCAAACTTCCGGTAAATTTCTTGTTGTTCAAATCCTAAATGCACAAAGCATAAAGTGCCAATACTCTAGTGAGATCATTTGCCTTAGGGTCTTCTTTTGGAATGACTTTCTTACTACTTAAAGCAACTTTTTGGTATAAAAATTAAGAAGCAGTAAGAAAGTTATTCCAAATAAAACCTTAGTATAATCCAACTAGACATGAGATTAGCTTGTAGATGTTCATCAATCTTTGAAAGTGCTGCTTTCTTTAAGACAGAAAATGGGACGGCTTTCTTATTGCTTCTCAAAGTAGTTTTTTAATATAATTTTTTTTTACTAAAAAATTACTTTTAGAAGCAGCAAAAAAACTGTCCCAAAAAAGCCTAATACTCTGTATTAAAAAGCAATTAAAAATTTCTCCCAAATGAAACCTAAATTTGCGTTTACAATAGAAAAGGTAAATTAAAATTTTGTTTTGTATAGTGGCTTGTGATATTAAGAATATTGCAAAAGATGTGCTTGGAGT